GTGTCAGACTCAATCTCAGTAAGGTCTGAATCATGTACCCACCTCTGTGTCTTTCCCTTGTGTCGGCCCCAATCTCAGTAAGGCCTGAATCTTGTAACAAGGATGATGCAAAAAACCCATGCCTCAAGATACCAGATTCTCTATGTTCCCCGCATATCTGCACGGAAATAATAGCACCAAATTATCCTTCCACAACCAGGTCCCCTTACAAAATACAAACACAGATGATATGAAAGGAAGAATTGTATGTCAGAATCTTGAGGAGGGAGAGGGGGAACATACATCACAATGGGCAACATCATCAAGGTTGACCATTGTACAGTTAGTGCAGAACCACTTCACAATTTCTACATGTTGTGGGAAGGGCTCCCAATCACTATCATCATCGTCGTCATTGAGGTCTTGGTTGTACATATCTTCTAATGTCATTTCTTTTTGCTGTGTTGCCTTTTTCTGCAGAACAATAAAGTTCCATATGTAAAGGCAACGATTTTAGGGTAGATAAAGCATGAAAGAAACAGTATTTTTGAATGTGAGTAAATGCGCCACTTACACTTAAAACATCAGTTGATGCGTCTCTGCTGGATGCTCCTATATCTTCTTTCCCAAAATTTTCATCACGGCAAGGTCTACCATTCGTTCCATCAAACCCCAAGTTTCCATATCGCCCATTAGAGCCTTGACATTGAACTTGATTGTTCGGTTTGTGAAGACCTATCTCGGCCTCCCCATTTGTTAAACGACTCATTTGAAGTGTTTCTGATGCTAAGCTGTGTTCAGAGCTTACATGGGGGTTTTCAGCAAGAATCATTCCTTCAAAAATTTCAACCGTCAAAAAGTTGTTTTGAAATATATGGTCAACAGGTTACCCAAAAAAAAAAAAAAGTCTAAAGAGAAGAAACTAATGAAGCCTGAAAACAAATTACCAGCTTCACTAGCTTCGTTAGTAGTGTGAAGCCTTAACAAATAAATATATATATATATATATAAAAACTGAGAGAAAAAGAGAAAAATATCTTCTTCTTTTTTGTCATTTAACTTAATTAATTTTAATATCTTACATAATTTTACTGTTCGAATGTTCATTTTTCAAAAATTTCTCTAAGTTTGTTTTAGTGAACTAATGAGCTTAAGGTGCAGTTAGTAGCCCAGATAGTCTATGTTTTGAACTTTCTATACCATACAGTAATTTTTGTGTGTGGGTGTGTGTAAGCCGGAACTAGAGACAGAATGAGCAAACCCTAGATTGTACGGAACGCATATATACATGACATATATACAGGTTTTTGAAATTACTCATGGAAGAAGGAAGAAGGAAGAAGGTGATGGAGAGGGATTGATAATCTTACCTGGGATAGGACACACGTGCCGGAATCTGCTGTAGATGCAAAACCACTGCAAATTTCAAAGGGAAAGCAGAAGCCCAGAAGGCTGCGACCTATGAACTATCATATTGACTGTTTTATTTTTTTGCAATGATACCCAAAAAGCTTTTATTTTTTTATTATTATTTATCTAGCGTTCTTTTGTAATTTTCATTCTGCCCCACATCTTTTTAATACTTTACATGTACGCACCTATAAGGATAACTATGAGTTACAATTAATTACCATGTTACTTACATCTCGCTCTCTCTCATATTCTCAAGTAAGGTGAAACAAAAAACGAAAAACAAAAAACAAGAGAAGAGGAAAATACAACAATCCCCTGTACAAACAAGAAAAGCAGAGGGAAAATATAAGAGGAGCAACCAAGGGACAGGATGGAAGGTTGTAAATGATCTGAAGGAAAACTGCATATAATAAATTATTGGGGTTTTATTGTCCATGAACTTATATTTGAGTTTCAATTTAGTCTTCCAATTTATTTATTTTTAGTCGATTCCAACTCTATCAGATACAGAAACTGTAACCCTAAAAACCAAAGGGTTATGCATTAGTATGTAAATGGGTGTACAAGATATTACACTTAATATATTACACATCTGATAGCCTTCTATCATTCTTCTGCAGAAAGAACAATAGTATAGTAAAGCGTGAAATCAAATGTAGCAGTAAAAAAAATCTTTTTTATTTATTTAAATTTTAATAAACAAGAATAATTTCATTAGTAACTGGCAATTTGTAGACAAAGCTGTGGTTTTGGCCAAAATGTGAACAGGCCCACACGGGGATCAAAATGTGAACCTCATTGATTGGATTCTCTACTGTCATCATCTTTTTTGGCTCCTTTTTGGACCAAAACAAGGTCACATACACGAGCGGTGCTGATATATATATATATATATATATATATGTAATGAATATCCAGACAATACATGCAAAGCAAGCTCATGTTCGTCATGTGTTTCAGGAAACCATATTACTCAACAATAGTCCCACACCGACCATGGCTCAGGGCCAAGATAAAAGAAAGAAAAAAAAGAAAGAAGAAGAAAGACAAAGACCTCACCAAAATTGTCTATTTAGGAGAGACAAAATGAAAGTCAATACAGACATTTCATTACTATACATAGTCCATATTAACATTGAAAAATGAAAAAGGAATGAAAAAGGAAAGAGTTTGGAGGTGATCGTAGCTCCAAACACCATGCTTTGCATACTAATCATGCCAGCAAATAAGCATAACAATACATCTTCTGAATATGTAGAGCCTTCCTCTTCCTTCTTTGAGAAACCCGCACGACCCTTTGCATGAAAACCTTCTCTTGGAGGCTTCAACAGTATCATCACTACTCTTCATCTTCATCTCTATTTCCCACAACACTAGCTAGTGGAATCCCATGGCTCTTTCTTCACTCTTCTGTATGAATCATTGTTAGATATATATACGTGTTAGGTTCACCTTGTAGAGATGACTAAATTTCATGAGAAAAAAGATAAGGAAGAGTGTGTTTCTTATAGGGAGAAGATAATGTGTGGTCCCAAAAGAAACCAACCATGAAGCGTCATCAAGACGAAGCTACATGGTGATAACAGGACCAACTTTGTTTTAAATAAGTACCATAACGTCAGTTATGAGTTCTTAATTGACAACTTGAGCACTTAATTTGACACCGAAAACTAAAACTTGGGATGAATGAACCAAACCCTACATGGCCAATTGACAAAAGGATTCAGCTTCTTTGTTCTTTTCGGCTTTCTAATCATCAGAGGACCGGTGAAATTTTTATAAGGCGTGCTGTGGTTTGGTCATGATAATTGACAATAGAGAACACTTGAATCAACAATTACTATCCAAATACAAAAGAGGTAGCTAGCTGTATGGTACGGCCGGGGGCCATGGTGCACGTGAAATTCACCAGAGAGACATGATCACTGTCCGTGACATGGAAGACAAACTAATTTTATTCAAAGGCTTTGAGCCACATTCTATTTATTAGGTTGAACTATCTATCACCTCCACGACTCTAATTTCGTCTCCTTTTAAACATGGGAGCTTCCCAGTACTTTCCATCTTTGTGGGTTATACAACAAAGGGTACCTAGCCTTTTCAAAGTCATCAATTTGAGTTTGAAACTTTGACATTGCGGTTTCTTTCTAGCCAAATCTAATCAAGCTGTGTGCACGAATATGTCATCTAACTATACATCAAATCAAATGGACACACAGTGAAAGAAGCAGAACATTATTGTAGTCACTATGCCTTGTCTCTGCTAGCTTAACAATCAGAAACGGGAAGAACTAATAGATAAGGGAACAGAAAAGAGAGAATCCCATTTGGAGTTTTGACTGGTAAATGGCGCATAAGCACACAAGGTTTCAGCAATTCCTGAAGCTGGACCCCTACCTAAAGTTAAAAGTGACAGAACAAGGACAATTTTTACCTGGATAAGTACGGAAGGGCCGGAGCTGGACCCTACCCAGAGGTCAGAACCGACCCAAATGAGAAAGGGAGCCCTAACTTTTAAGTATATATGAATTGGAAGACAGATGACAACAAATGTGATTGAAAATCTGTTCCTGACCGACCTCCCCAAGAAGAGAAAATTTTGACGTACAAACCCAAAATAAATTGCAGCAAGTCAAAAAATTTGACCGTCTTTCTTCCACTTGACAAGAATCAAAGCCAAATGTATTCAAACAACAAATGCTGCATGCAGCATGCCTGACTGCAAAAGCCTGATGCTAGAAACTATTTATGAAGGAAAGATTTCAGCAGTACAAGTTAGGCCTAGCAATTAATTGGAGGACAGAGTAACACCTTTTCTTTGGGTAGAAACAGAGGGACACCTTCAACTTACAGTACAGTCCACGACTGTGCACCTGGTATGACACATATTGTTCAGAAACTGTGCAGCAGATATAAATACATTGATGTGTGGGGTTACAAAACTATAAATGCCAAGTTCGCAGCCACTAAAATGATTGAAGATAATGTTTGGTATCATATATAACGTTTAGCAATAGTGCATATGCTTATCCATTTATTATATTGTACATATACAGAACAGAGATCATAACATCACATGTGATCTTAATCTTCATCCTTACTAATCAGACAAGATATAACATGCCGGTTTCCAATTCGAAGAAAAGAAACAAGAAAAACACCGCTGGTTATTTTGCAAACTTCAACTTCCAAGATCACACAACAAAAGGTTTCAAGAAAACTGTATCCATGCTAATATATATGAGCTTTACTAGCTCTGCATGCCTTTATTGTCTTGTATCATTCTTTTTCCAATTTGCTATGGGTACATGCGTGCCATTCATTAAAGTGTTCTCTAGAAATCAATACATCTCCTTAACTAATTTTCCACTTCTGTTGAATTTTTTAAAAAGACCTTTCAAGAGAAATAAGTATTCAAGTGCATGGAACACACAAGCTATGGTGCCGTCACTCCCACTTCATCAGCTGGACTGCTACCACTTTACAGTGCATAAATACAACAAAAACCCTATTGTTGTTGCTACTACCACTGGTGTGTACATATCACTTTTACATGTCTTCCATTGACACGGCCCATGTAGAAAAATAATCACATAGGTCTGACCCTTTTTACTCAAAAATGAATAAATCCATTTCAAAATCTAAAAAGATATCGTCAATTATCTCAATCATTTATATCACAATAAAAACTTACCCCTGATGTCCTCAATTGCAATAGTTGAAAGCAATGAAGATTTCATATTATGAATATCCTTCAGCAGTTTATCGTTCTCCTGACTCCCACTCTGTATCTCAACTTGTAAAGCTGCATGCCAACAATTTGTAGTAAATAAGTCACTTCAACAAAGAAAACTACAAGAGTAATATATGCATTTGATACAACATATGGACTAGAGACTTGCTCACACTTCACACACTAGGGTGATTTAACACTCTTAAACCATTGAATATTAAATTAAATGTGCAAAAATAAGGAAGAAGTTTGTACCAGAGTTGCTACTAATAAGATCTTCAAGAATTCCTTCAACAAATGCCAGCATTGAATTCTTTAAAGCATTGTTCTTCTCTTCCAAGATATGAATTTCATTTTCAAGGAACTCTTTTTCTGACAGAAGAATGCATAGTTCATTATCATTCTCCTTGTCAATGTCCTTCTGGAATTCTAAGCACATTGCAATAAACCTTTCCCTGTTAAAAAAGAAAAGAAAAAAAAGAGCTCATTCAGTTACCTATCTGTACCTAATGCAGATGTCAGTTACGTTCTTAAGTTCTAATTCTTACTTTGGCAGGAATTTTCAAGTACAAAGAAAAGAAAATGTTACAATTTTTGTGAAATCCATAAACATTCATATCAGAATTGAGACTTAAAACGTTCATAATCTATTAAAAAAGGAAAATACCGCTGGTCGTGGATTCTATTAAGAGTCTCATCGCGCTTCATTCTCAGACGACGCAATTCCTTCTCCATAATCTCTACCGAATTCCTTAAATCTTCTGTTAATAAATACATTAATAAAAAAGTCGAATTAAGTGACTGATAAACTATTAATGCTCCAATTAATGTGTATAATAAGCAAAAATGGGAAGGATTAGAGGAAATTAGAGAATATACTGGTGACGGTGAGCAATCCCGTGAGCTCAAAGTGCGAGACGTAGAGGGTCTTGGTGAGGTCCGATTCTTTGGCGGCCAGAGCGTTTTCGATTTCAGAGCATTTGACGATCTCCGATTCGATCTCTCGCGTGATCTGAATATTCGCCTCGATTTCTTCGTTCACCTAATTTCACAAGCAGTTTATGAGCGATCGGAGATAATTTGGTTGAAAATTGAAACTTTGACGGAGATGGAAGTTTCGACTGAGATAGGAGATGAAGGAGGAGGAGGAGGTGCAGTTTACCTGGTCAAGCATGTCCTTCAAGGTTGAGATGTGACAGAGGATCGCCCCCGAATCCTCCATTTTCGTATCTCTCTGCGACTCTGCGAGTGAGCGTGTGTTTGCTTAACGGTCCTCTTTCCAAGTCTCCCGCGTTTTTATATATACAGTCCTTTTACTCTTTCAAGTTAAAACGTGGCGTTTTGAGTAAACCCTGCCCAACCCTATTGAGAGAACTGGGGTCCAAAAGTTCATAACACTTATACCGCCCCTCTCTCCTTCTCTTCCTCTCTGCTTCTTCTACAATTCTTTCTCTTTTGGCGGAACGGCGGTGAGTGATCGGCTGCGGCAGGGAAATAGGTAAGCTTTTGCAACCCATGGATTCCTCTCTCTCTCTCTCTCTCTCTCTTGCTACTCAGCTTTGCTGCTAATTTCTCTATGTTGCCTTCGCAGACTGTATAGTGTTTCTCTGCAAGAGCCGCCATGGGAGGCTCGCGAGCTCAAGTAAACAAGCCCCACAAGACGCGCTTTGCCTCCAAATCTTCGCGTAATCTCCACAAAACTTCAGGTTCTGTATGCTACTCCCTCCACCTTCTTTTGTTTGCTGGAAAATTAGACGTAACGGCTATGCAATGCAATTGGTGTGTATAAATTGAGTGTTTTTGGTGCTTCAGATAAGAGTAGGATTGGCAAATCAGAGCACAATGTTGCCAAGGGAGCTCGGGCAGCTCGAGTTCAACGTAACAAGATGGTAATTGATTTTAAAAATCTCCCTCTTTCTCGTGCCAATATTCATTTTGGGTACCTAACTCTCAACGTCACTATTCTGTAGTTACGAGAACAGAAGCGGGCAGCTCTTTTGAAAGAGAAGAGGGCTTCAAGTGGATCAGCAAGTGCTCCCCGTGTGATTGTGAGTATTTTGTTTTCAGTTGGAACTGATAGAGAAAAAGGCTTTGAGGGATTAATGCGCTTATATTAAAATACAAGAACCTTTTTATCAGCTCTATTATCATTCTAACGTCCACTAATGTTAGGTTTTGTTCGGGCTTTCTGCTGATGTAAACCTAAATTCACTTGCCGAGGAACTTCTTTCTTTGTTATCTCCACAAGGTTATGATGCCACCTTGCCAACAGTTGCTTCTGTTGAATACAAACTGAGAACAACGGTACCCCCCCTCTGCTGCTGTATTTTAATTATGGTTCACAAAGTTGTTAACATTGATGACTGATGTGAAGATTTCTAAGTATCTAACTCGAGTAATTCTTTAGGTATTGAAAGCACCACATGGGGATCTGCTATCATGCTTGGAAATGGCCAAGGTAAGAAATTCTGCAGCTTGTGTATTCATCCTAATTTTCTTGGGTTTTCTGACGCAGAAACTCTTTTCTGTAGGTTGCTGATCTCATTGCTTTTGTGGCTTCAGCGAGCTCTTCATGTGAAGGAAGCACATCTGACTACATTGACTCATTTGGAAGTCACTGTCTTTCTGTCTTTAGGTCCCTTGGTTTACCGAGCACTGCTGTGCTAATTCGTGTATGTTATTGTTGATGTGGTTTTTATGTTCATGGAAATATTATCGAACTAGGATAATTAGATTTTGCCCAATTTGATATAGGATTTATTCTCCTTTTTTGGTGCATGTAGGATCTACCTACTGACATGAAAAGAAGACATGATTCAAAGAAAACATGTACTTCTAGTCTTGCTTCTGAATTTCCCGAGGATTGTAAATTTTATCCAGCTGACACAAAGGATGAGTTGCACAAGGTATGTGTCGACTACAGATTCTTTAACTTAGCCTTCAATATTAAAAGTCCAAAGGGGGTTATAATACACTTGGCATTTTGTTTTGTTTCATATTTACATAATTTGATGCTTCTCATAGCTTTCGCATCATCTTACTATATTTGCAGTTCATGTGGCTCTTTAAGGAGCAAAGGCTCTCAGCTCCTCACTGGCGAAGTCAACGGCCTTACCTGATTTCTCAGAAGGTGCTCATTTTCTATTTATTTAACTTTTTGTTTCATTCTATGTTAGGTAAAGGTGGAAAAAATAGGGAAATATATAGTAGAAGTGATGCAGAATGGTTCTACGTCAAGAAGTTTTTCTTATATGGCAAGGCATGTGTGCCTTGTAGAACAACTACTATTCTTGTAAAGAAGAAAATTTGAATTTGATAAGTAAGAAAGATTTTGTAATCACTCATTTTGTGTTTATAGGTTGATATGGTAGCAGATGATTTCAATTCGGGAAATTGTACCCTTCTCCTTACTGGATATCTGCGTGCTCGCAGTCTTTCTGTGAATCAACTGGTAATTAGTTCAGCCAAAGACTTTCCCTTGGTCGCATGATTTGGCAGTTGTCTTATTTTCTTTTATATCAGGTTCATGTTTCTGGTGTGGGAGATTTCCAGTTGTCCAAAATGGAAATTCTCAAGGATCCATTTCCTTTGAATGCAAGAAAAGAGCAGGATTTCATGGATTCAGATGAAGTGTGTGATGTAGAGGTATTGGCTGTTTCATTTAAATATAAGCAGAAGATGTCTATAGAATAAGTTATTTCCTTGTAGTGATAAGATTTGGATGCTTTTTATTCATTTGTGAAGCATGTTTATGATGATAAGTTTATCATATGACGTGTGTTTCTCATTTGAAATTTTACCTATTTCAAGGTCCTCCGTTCTTTGGTTCCCGATCCTATGAGGCAGGAGCCTTTACTAGTTGAGAATGTTCCCGATCCCCTGGCAGGTGAACAGGTAACAACATTACATCTTCATTCTATTAATTATTATCTTACTCAATTTCATTAAGAATATGGGTTGTATATTGCTTATCCAAAAATGAATAAAACAAAGATGGGTGGTATTTGAGTGGATGATACCTGAATTACAAAAGAAGAATGTCAATTGGAATACTCCTCCTATCTCAACCGGTTAATATGTTTTACATTTGGATTTTCTTAATTTTACTGTGAGTTTTGTTGAATTACTGAACTGCCATTTATAAAATGGATCCTTTTTGTCAGACATGGCCAACAGAGGCAGAAATGGTTGAGGCTGAAAAAAGTCAGAAACAAAAAAAGAAGAAAAAGAGGGCACTTCCTCGAGGCACTTCAGAATACCAGGTCTGCAGTTCCTGTCAGTTTCTTTTCTTTTTTTTGGTGCAGTGGGGGCCGGAGCCCAGGAAAAAAAAAACACAACTTAAAGTGAAACAGTTTCATAATTCTGAATGTTTCTATATTTCTTTTGTTCTTTGACATTTTTGTTTGTTCATGTTTAAGAGGTAATGGACAGATTTTTTAGTGATATATCAGAGGCATGATTTCTGTTCTTGCAGGCTGCTTGGATTGTGGATGGTACAGATGAAGAGGGATCAACTACTGATGAGGATGAGGAAGCTGATGGTATGGTATTGGATGAGGGGGACATTGGTTATCCTGGTCAAGAGGGCACCAATTATTCGGATCTCAGTGATGACCAAGCTTCTTCAAGCTTTGGGGACTCTGATGGAGAAACTGATGTTGATTCAGTAATGATGGTGAGTTTAGCATGTATATTATTTATGCATCAAGGTGATTTTAGTGCGTTACCAACTTACCAGCATTAGTCGGTTTCTCTGATTTTTATCTAACATGAAGACACAACAAATAACAAATGGAACCCCCATTATTATGCTACTGTCATTTGTGAATGTGAAAAAAAGTAAGACTTAAGAATACCAACCACATTCTAGATGGTGAGAATCCCTAGTGTTTCTCCAGGTTAAGCTCAATACATACCACTTTAGACAATACGTTTTACCAAACATGTGTGAACCACTCACCTTACTGGCTTGAACTAGAATGCTGAATAGCAGGGGTTCACTGATGATTTGGTCAGTCATTGGTGCTTTGTCAACCTATTTGCAGCATTTTCATTAATATGTAATGCAACAAAGGTCCTTTGATTCTCAAGAATGCCAACTAGGTTATACCTGGATCTTCCAACCCTCAATGCTCATAATTAGCTTTAAAATTCAAGGAAATCTTCCAAAAATAGAAAGAAATAACAGAATACATTGTGTATTTGTCTCTAAGGATTCAATTAACGTTATACTTAAGAATAGGTCATAATGGTAATATTAATGTGCTGTCAGCAAGAAGAAATTTATTTTTCTTTTGTTCCAATTCTGTACATTGTAGGACTTACTCATTTTGTTTCTGTTTTACAGGAAGGTGAAAACTTGACCAAGGAACAGTTGGCGAATGAAATTCAAAAAATAAAGCAAGCACATGCTGATGATGAGGGTACTTATCTTTTTAAAAAGCTATATACTGTTGATTTTTAAAGACAATTGTATTTAAACTCTTTCATTAAGCCAAAGCTTTCCTACACATAGAAGCTAAATACTGCTTCAAATAACTTGAAGTTTTTGTTATATTCCTTGCTATATGATTTATATTGTTAAAACTATATTTGTAGCACCTTGAAGTCAACTATATTACTGCTGCGTTATTTAGTTCGCTTTTAATGGTTGTTTGTTATGTTTTTCAGAATTTCCAGATGAAGTGGATACACCATTAGACATTCCAGCAAGAAAACGTTTTGCAAAGTATAGAGGCCTCAAGTCCTTTAGGACCTCTACGTGGGATCCCAAAGTAATATTCCTGTAATTCTGTAATAGTAGTTCACTCTATTCTGAACATCAACTGTCCAACTGACTTTCGTGTCTGATGAACTTCAGGAGTCTTTGCCTCTAGAGTATGCCAGAATCTTTGCATTCGATAATTTCAATAGAACACAGAAAAACGTCCTTGCTAAAGCTTTAGATATGGAGCAACAAAACAGGGATGACTGCGCCACTGCTAGCTCATATGCAAGGCTGTATATCAAAGACGTGCCAACTAGTGTTGCTTCTAAATTATGTAATCAGGCAAAAACAATGCCTGTTACAGCATGCGGTCTTTTGCAGCATGAGTCCAAGATGTCTGTACTACATTTCAGGTATCTTGTAGTTGGGAAAAATTTGCAGTTTTGTGGTCTCCGTAAAGGAAGGTATTTTCATGACCCTGGGTGATCTATGTTTGCAGCGTAAAGAAGCATGACTCGTACAGTGCTCCTATCAAAGCCAAAGAGGAATTAATATTTCATGTTGGGTTTCGCCAATTTATCGCTAGGTAGTTTCTCTAATGCCATCAACTGTTCTTCTGATTGAGTTTTAGTGATTGATGCTTTTGCTCTTCACTTTGCAGGCCAATATATTCTACTGACAACATGAATTCAGATAAGCACAAAATGGAGAGGTTTCTTCATGCAGGACGTTTTTCCATGGCTTCAATTTATGCTCCGATCTCCTTTCCTCCTCTTCCTTTGATAGCTTTGAGGAGTTCTGAGGGAGCGGGCACTGCACCTGCAGTTGCTGCTGTTGGTTCACTGAAAAGCATCGACCCTGACAGAATTATACTAAAGAAGATTACTTTAACTGGGTACAGTTTATTATTAAATTTTTGGTGGTGGTGACCTTTATGGCACAGATTTTTTCCTTTGAATGTTCGAATTGATTGAACTTGAAAGCATATTTGATGCAGTTACCCTCAACGAGTATCAAAACTAAAAGCTTCTGTAAGGTATATGTTCCATAATCCAGAGGACGTGAAATGGTTCAAGGTGTGAATCTCATACCATATCTTTTTAATTTGTGCTGTATCTTATCGAAGTAAAATATTACAATCATTATTGTGAATATGTTTCTTAACGTGCGTGGTGATGGCAGCCTGTGGAAGTGTGGACCAAATGTGGTCGTCGGGGTCGCATCAAGGAGCCTCTTGGAACACACGGTAAGATTATCCCAAATAGTGGAAGACTATTAATCGGAAGATGCCATTTCAGACCTTTCATTTCCATATTCCGGTTGTGCTTTATATTATATTAAGTAGTTATTAAGGGTTTCTTTTGTTCCATATATAATTGTCTCAGGGGCATTGAAATGCATCTTCAATGGGGTCCTCCAGCAGCATGACACAGTATGCATGAGCTTGTACAAGCGTTCGTATCCCAAGTGGCCGGACCACCGGTTCCCCATTCTTGATGCTTGATCAAATAGTGTCCCGCCGGCCATGCGACACTTGCCCTTAACAGTGCTTCCCAATTCTTGACGCTTGAGAAGATAGTGTCTTGGACGCCTGACTTTTTCTTGCAGTGATTTGCTTTCGAACACACAAGAAAGTCATGTGTCTTGTATGGGAATGAAGCTCTGGTTCAGATTGTTGGTTCCAATTTTCATTTTTGCTCTGCTAGGACACCCGAACTTTGAGTGCCGAAGGCTTGATTGTAAAATACCTGTTATTCTTCTCTATATTATTTTCTTCTTTTTTGGGTTACTTTTTTAGAACACAAAATTTCTTAATAGTGTAGTGAGAGGGCTGACCGTTTGCTCCTGTTGCGTGAATTGATTCTCCATTATATCACACTTTCATTTCTATCCCAACAATTTATAACCAAGACTACATTCTGATGCATAAGATGTTGCAATACAAACACAAAATTTCACATGCAATATTCTTGAAAGCAAATTGGCTTGATGGGTCTTGAAAGTTGGGCTCTTCTTCCTCAAATATACACTCTCATTCGAATCAAACTCCAGTACTGGCTAAGTCCAAATACAAAAACATATGATTCAAAATTTCAACATTTTTGTGTTCAACAACCACAAGCAGAAGAAAAAAGAAAATAGAACACTGGTAGGGTACAGTCTACATAGACTCTTCAAACTCATTCAATTTCTCTTTCTTCTTCAATTCACTTTCGTACTGTCTCAGTCTCTCCTTCACTTTCTCCTGTATTCATCAAAATCCAAGATTCCATATGAAAATCAATCAGATTACAAAGTTATATTGATAAATTTCGGCTATGATTCCATTGTTCCAGTAGCTCAGGAAGCTATAATTTTCATTTCCGAAAATCAGACAGAGAGTGAGTGAGCTTAATAAGAAGAATGATAAACAGGGAGGGGGAAGTGAGAAGACCTTGTAGCTTTTCTCGACGCGGTCCATGACGTAGAAGCCGAGAACGCCACCGAGAATGGTTCCGGTGATGATCCGGGCATAGGCCCAAGTATTAGAGCTCCCAGCCATTTTCCTTCTCTTTCTCTCTCGCTTTCTTTCCTTGATTTTCTCGGGAAAGTTTCGACTTTCAAGCGGCGCTTTGACGGTGGACGTTGGCCCCTGCCTTTCGGCCTTTTACTAATTAAGAATTTAAGAGAGTAAAAGTGGATGGGTCAAGTCGGACGGGTGGGTGAGTAAACCGGGTTAAGGTTTCAATAGTTGTGGCCCCGGCTGAAGGTTTGTCTTACCATTGCAGATGCCAGATTTCGTTTATTTGGGCTGTGCATAAAGTTTGTCACTCTCATTTGGGCTACGAGTTAATTTAAGGGAGTTTCACTAAAACACCCAAAATGGGGGTTGAAATTATAAAAAAATCCAAGCACTATTTAAACATATAAACACACCCAAAACCCATCATTACACACACTCAAAACTCATTTATAAACACACCCAAAAAATTGACTTTGGGGTTAATTTTGGGTGTGTTTCTATGTTTAAATAGTGCTTGGGTTTTTTTATAAATACATGTCTAGGATTGGGTTTATTTATAAATTTGTATTAATTTTATTGTACATATATTTGGAGCTGCGGTTAATTCACAAAATACACTCAAATTATTTAGAACCGAAAACCCACATTTCCTTGTGCTTCTATCAAACAAATGGTCGGAGGCTGATGCTGCCCTTACTCAGTCTTGAACGAATACGTCGTCGTCTGATGGCTATGGCTCTAATGGAGTGTGATTCACCGTCAGCAATAAAATGCCCCAACTGAAGCAAGAATTGGGAGGAGATCAAATCCAAAGGAGCTCTCAGGTTTCGGCAAACCAAAGCCACATGAAAAGAATTAGAGGAGTCAGTGGAGACTGCTTGTTTTACGGATTCAAAAATGATAATGGTTCAAGTTCATTGCATTGCCAGCAGTGAAGCAGGAGGGACTTTTAATGAAATTATACCCAACAGACACAAAATACTTAGAATGTCACAGTACAAATATCAACATTGAATAAGCAGTGTGTATTAATTGTTCTCTTGGATAGAGACATGTTTCATGGATCCAATTACTCTTACAGAATATACACATATGGGTTTTTGTACAAAGCTCAATCCAGGCATACGCCTTTCAGACAGTTTACTCCCCACGAAAAAATTGTTGGGGAAGAAACCAAACACTAATTGCCCTGGACTAAAGATGTATGAACATATTTAATCACAGTAATCTGCACCTAAGGGCATGCCAAATCCTGAACCTAAAAAAAACAGAAATGCATGGGTTTTCTGACTTTTATCAACTATTGACCTGTCCTTTCTTCTTCAACCTTAGACCCTTCTGGCTTGATTGCTGGTTTGGAGACGGCTCCACAAGCAGCAAGCGTGACATGACATATGCTAACAGTTCTTCTCTATGCGAAAATGTAAAGTCCAAATGGGCGTACTCGAACTCACTGTATGATACATCAACACCTGCATCATTCATGAACTTATAATGCTTTCTGACCATGGATGGCCGAATTACCTTGTCCTTCCGCCCAGCAACCAGATCAACAGGAACGTCAATAAGCCCATAGTACTCACCCAAGTCCAATGGCTCTGTAGATCCATACACCTCCATGTTAGCAGACGCACTCCCATAATCGAACATTCTAAATTTTCCTGCACGCTTCATTTGTGCAAGGTGGAGAGCCACTTGGAATGATACCCCCGGCATATCATTCATGTTATAATGTGGTATCCCTAACACGCCAACCCAATTTGAGCTATCCCCGCCAACAAAATAACTCATTAGGGTCTGAACCAGTCCTCCAACGGCAGGGTAGTTATGGAAGTCTCGTGCCAACTTGTTCAGAAGCATTCGAAAGAATCTGGTGGGTATGTAGAAGCCAGGCACAAAGGGTGCCAGAATAGGAGCCAATAGAAGAAAGACATGTTCCACAACCGTAAACATTAGGCTGGAATCACCATGGAATCCAGCAGGTGACAGTAAAACCAATCTTGAGAGTCTATGGGGTCTCTCTTCTATCCTCTGTGTTACAACATACATCAGTATAGCTGCTCCTCCCAAGCTATGGCAAATGGCACAAAGCTTGTAAGGTTGCTCATCATTGGTTTCTTCCTCAAGATCAGGTTGGCTAAGCTTCAATTCAGCAGTTTTAACTTGGTGTATCTTCTCTATCATTGCAGGTATATCCCGAGTCGCATGCTCATTGATGGAGTACTGCCAATACCTGCATTGGTTGCTACAGTCAGTAACTCAATTCACACTGCAAAACTTTATGTAATTGCTGCCTTATGCTTAGAAAATCTGTAAATATTGCAGCCTCATTCAATTCCCACCAACAATCTGAGTCGAGAGGAAATCAAGGATAAAAATTTCATAAATAAAATAGCAATCAGATCTCATATGTCAACTTACTGTCGTGAGGATATATTTTTGTTAACATGCTCCCTAGAAACCAAGCCACGGAAGTTCCCGAGGAAAACATCATATCCTGCAAAAGTAAGAAGCATTAGCATATTTCTAAACCGCTACAGTGCTCTTTAATGCAAGCCGCACACACTTGCAAATGAAACATGCAAACCTTGATCATAGGCTGCAAATGCCGGTGAACCAACAACCCCATTTGACACCCAACTGGACAGAGGAAATAACCAATTAGAAATCATTTTTAAAGGTAGCATATATCAAACAAAACTCTTGTAAAATGTGTGATTATAACACATGAAGTAATGGTTACCCATTGCCTCTTCAAAAAAGAAAATAAAATAAAATCATGTTGTAAGATGCGAATATAGTTGTAGTAGTAAAAATCGTGGTGGTGGGAAGAATTATGCATCACACTGATTACCCACCTAGGGCACTGGGGAGGAAGGAATCTTAAGAAGAAATAGCTTACCCCATAGATGAATCCAGAATTCCATGTTGTAGATAAACAGCTTTCCGTGAATCACGCCTGCAGCATCGCAGTACAGTCATTACATTAGACACCATCGACTTAGAACAAAGTTATCACTTGACCAGGGATAAAGAATACAAATAAATCCATCATACCTTGGGAGTCTTTCCAAGAGAAGAACATATCCATCACTAGTGATCACATGTATAGCTTCATATGGGTACCTAAGGCAGACAGAAAGTTCAGCAATTTTAAGAGCATGTGCAACACTCAAAGAAAAAAGAAAAGGTTCTACAATCAAGTAAGCTGTAGCATAGCCTTACCCAAGCTCTGTTATGACATCCTGGCATGTCCGAGCATCAGTATTTAGCGACTGTTGAAATGAAGTATTCCTTTCTTTAGGAGCTGGATCATTCTCTCCAAGTGTAGCTGTGGGGACAGAAACTTCTGAATCACTATCATGACTATCTTGAGCACCACTACTGCTCAATGAATACCATCCAGATAGAGTTTTAAAAGCCTCTGATGGGGAAAGAATAAAATGTGCTGCCTTATGAACAACATCAAATATAGCTTCTATGAATATCTCGATTGCTAGATGAAGATCCTGTTGAACACAAATTGAAGATAAGAAAATATATTAAGAGAAAATAAATGATGCATTTAATTCCCAAACTGGTATGAAAAAGAGTTTATGCAGAAACCTCAATGACTCCACGTCTCCTATCAGTGGTTCGGTGCACAATGTGATCCTTGAGAGTCTGCATTTTATTAATAGCTCGTGCTTGCAGGATCTGACTGCTTCCTGGTGCAGAAGAGCCGTTTGACGACCTAGAATAAGACAATTGGAAAATACGAACTGGAATCCAGAGCAGAAACCTTGCAGGAAGCAAAATCCAGAAAAATATGTATCTGATCCACATCCATCCCATCCAGCGCCTATCGTTCCTACTGAAACTAGAAGCCCGAGAGACTCTTGAACTTTGAGATAGTGGTGATCCAGGAGATGTGTCTCCATCACTATCTTCATCTCCATATGGGTAATCAAGGCTCGAGCCATCAGAATCAGAATCCACAGAAAGCTCATGTATGAAATGATTGAAAGAGGACACTCCACTACAAACATCAAACAAAATGGACATGTCATTTCAGCAACTAATATATATGTAATATGTCGGTTGCACTACAATTTACAAGAAAGATATCAATCAAATTAAAGGAACTAATTCTACATACAAAATAACTACTGCCCACGAAAACAAGAACAACCATAGCATTCATTTATCATGAATAACCCCCAAATTCCCACAATTTCAAAACGAATTGCCAATTACCGGACAAATTCAAAAATCTGAATTATTCAGTGTGCTTGCAAATTTTGCTGGGGTCAAAACACACAACTTACTTTTCCATCCAGCGCGGAAATCGAGGTCCCCGAAAGGTGGGCCTGAGCTCCCAGCCATGAATGCCTTCAAGGATGTTAGCTTTCCCAGGTAAAAATGTCAATAAAAGAGCTGAAACTCCATTAATCAGCCTCACAATATTGTTCAGCGACTCGTATGTGAACGTCTTCACTGACCTGCACTACCAAACACCAATCAACAAACACAAACAAACGCTTTGATTCCAGAAACAATACAAACCAAAATTCAAACCCAGCACCAAAATTTGAAATTTTTTTTTTTTTTGGCACACATGAAAAAGTATCAATTTTTATATGTATAGATAACGGGAATTAAACCAATTCCAATCAATTTTGTAAAAGGGGAAGGAAGGAAGAGGAGGCTCTCACTCTTTGGTGACAGCAATGATGTTGTCAACGACCCGTTGCATCATCTCATAATAATTATCAGTAAATTTGATTTGTATCAGATTTCTGGGACAAGAAAAAAAGAAAAAATTCTGAAACTTCGAAAATGGAAAGTAAAATGGAAACGAATCTGATCGGCAATGATGATAGGCGTGAGAAGAGCGACGGAAATCGAGAGAAAATTTTGGGAGCTCCGATATTTTAGGACACTCAAATTGACAGCAATAGGGGGAAGGCAATAAAAGGAACGGCGATTCTTGCCGTAGAGGGAAGGCAGCCAAGGAAATCCACGTGGTGGGCCCTTATTGGGTACCTCAAATGCGTGTCGGTCTCTGGTCTTTTAGTGTGGATCACGAGTACACGTAAGGATGCGAAATTCAGAGCTTGTTGTTCACGTGCTTCTGTATATATCATATCATATTTATTATTTTTATCTGAACTAAGACTAGTAGGGCCCATTAGGAAGTGAACGGAGTGGATTCGAAGATGGACAAGGGCCGACACGAT